AGGATGATAGTCCGAGCAATGTAAATAGTGTACATAATACCACATCTCAGAATGCATTGAAATAAATAAAAACATGGATGATCAGTGGCCAGGGGTTATGGTAAATACTGAGAGAATCATACAAGTAGAGAAATTGAACTATCTGGGAAATGTCGCAACAGACGACGAATAATGTGGCACCGAAATCCGACGGCGCATTTTAATACCTAAAGATGCCTTCCAAAAGCTAAGCAAAGTACTAAGAAACAGGTAAATTTCGTTGGAAGCGAAAATATGGGTACTGAACCGCTATGTAATATCTGTCCACCTATATGGCAGTCAATGTTGGGCAATTTCCTCATAGATGAAGAGTAGATTTGAGGCAACGGAGAGATATAGAAGAGCGCTGAGAATAACATGGACTGAACGCGTGAATAACGAAGAAGACATAATGAGGAAAGAAGGTTTGAAGAATTTGACACTCACGAGGGTTAATTCCGTCAACGAGAAATACTGGTATATTTTTAAAAAATAAATTCTTATTTTTTTTCTTTATTTCTTTTCTTTGATTTTTTTTTTTTCACTTGGAATTGTATTAAGTTCTTTTACCATTTTTATTGCGAATAAAAATTCAGCTGCAACTAGGAAGGACGCTCTGCAAGAAATGCATCTTATATACTTCTAGAAAACAACAATAGATACAAAGAGCACAATAACACTGTTGGATAGAGCAAGTTTTAGTTACGGACATTAATAACGTATTGGAAATGAATGAAGGATGCTCCGAAAATAATGCTTCCTAGTTATTTCCTCAGAAACTACAAAAAACTATTTCATCACACTGACTATGAATTTTCACCAGTAATGATTTGTCACCACTGGTGAAAATTCACCACGGGCCTTCTATTTCGTTGAATGACAGACTATGGCTTGTTACGTACATCTCTAGTGATGAAACCCATTACTGTTATGGTAATTTACCCACGCACGCATGGACTCTCCCATCTATAAATAGGAGCAGGTACTGCCTTTTGGAGAGGGAAATTTCCAGTAGTCAGCTCTGACAGTCGAATCGAACATTCTTGCTGTAACACTTTCATTTGTATATGTTTGTATTACTGTTTCTGTTAATATATTTGTTTAACTCGATTACTATCCTGTGTCTTTGTTTCTGACCCTAACAAGGCTACAACAATTACACGCCACTTATCTGTGCTCACATCCACTTTTTGGTCTCTATAAATGTTCAGCAAGCGTCAATAAATGTCATATGTACATTATTTTCGCACAAAATCATTCCATGACGTGTCTTTTCTTCGTACTTACTTTCACATCAGATGCCATTTTACTAAACTGCCGCTCGACTGCTATCTATAATAAGCTAGAAGAAACGTTATGAGTTATTGGTGGGAAGGTTCAACCTCTAATATACTGCTATAATAGCAATACCCGTCTCTAATGTCAGAGACCAACATATTAAAATAGAAGCCGTTACTTTCAGACAGACCATCGTATGACGAATAGACTGAGTTAAGATAATTCTGTCACTTTAATTTGATAAGCGCTAACCGTAGAGATGTATTTAGAAAGATAGTCTTATCAATCATTCACGTGCATCTTGAATTCGATGAAAACTATGAATGCCTCACGCATAAAGGGTGCAATGGGTAAATTATTGCCATTTTATATTTCTAATTTCGCGCATGCGCTTTGTTTTTGATTTTGTCAACTGCGCAATATGGTAGGGGCAGTTGGAAACTAATTGTGAGAAGAAAACCATGACGCAATTGACTCCGCCAGAAATTTGAGAACGGCATGCTGTACTGCTTGGCATTCGCGCTGGAAGCTTCAATACGAATATTTCAGAGTGTTTGGATGTCTACCTAAGGACAGTGCAGAGGATTCGGAAAGAGTATATCGAGTGATCACTAGTGATGGCGACATTATGCCTCCATTAATCTTCCCACAGTGCCTCAGATTCAACACGGAGACCTACATCAAGTGCCTTGAGGAGATAATGCTGTCTCGGGTCAAGTGGGTGGCTGCTAGAAGACCCCATATCTGACAACAAGATAGCACCCTACCACACAAGCAGAAAAACCCAGTCATGGCAATTTCTTTTTTTTTTTTTTGTTCTTTTTTTTTTTTTTTCTTGCGGTAAAACATAGTAATGTGGATATTCTTGTAAAAATCAAATAATTGTCGGATTTTAATAACACTTTCAGGACTTATTCATAAATGAATGAAATTATTTTAGAATTTTTTTAATCGTGGTAAAAAAGTATATATTTTGGGTTTTTTTTTTTTTTTACATCTGATATATCTTAATTAGTAAAATTTCGAGAAATTGAATATCCTAAGATTTAAATATTTATATTAGTTAAATGCAGGACTCCTTGGTGAAAGTAAATCATCAATTTTTACTTATTTTTTTGGTAAAATAAATGCATCATTTGCCGAAAATCTGCTCTAAATCGTGAAATAAAAAAGCAAATAAACTAAGAAATTATTTAATTAGAAA